GATGCTGAGTGAGTACAGCTGAGCTCCCCTCCTAAATCCCGAGTCCTTGAGGCGCTGCCCCTGGGGTGAAGGGGAAGGATGGGGTGAAACCGGACCCTTAGCACCGAGACATAAAAGCAGTCCATCTCAGCTTGGGTCTGAGTGACAGGTAGGAAACTACACCTGCCTTACAGGTGCCCAGAGCACTCGAGGGCGGGCCTTGCCTTCCCATGGGCCTCCGGCAGGAGGTTCCTGTCTCCTCTCCGTGAATCCCGGCTGAGAGAGCACCTCGCCTCCCCAGTGTGCTCCTTCTGCCAGGATGCCACCCACCAGAGGGGACACTTCGCCCCAGGATTCCCACACGGGGCTCCCAGAGATAAAGCTGAAGATGGGCAGCAACCTCACGTTGACTGTGCCAGCCACCATCCTTGGGATCTAGCAGGCAGGTCAAAGAGCCAGAGCAGCCCTTTGGCCAGTAGGAGGAGCCCCACTAACAGTATTATCAGCCCCGCTAACAGTATTATCAACCCCGCTGTGTGTGCAGCGTGTGGGGCATTGTTCCCCATCTGGGTAGCGTTTATCCAGTCCAGCCTCAACCTCACAGCAGCCTTTGGAAGCCGCTCCCAGTGTTACGCTGAGGGAAGCGTGACATTGTTCAGAATCACTAGCCAGCAAGTAGCGGAGGCAGTATGTGGATCAAGGACGTTGGCCTCCAGGGCCTGGTACCCCTTTGCTTGGCTAAGCTCTGGTACTTCCCCCAGCCCCCTCCTCCCTCCCTCCAGGTTCCTCATGGTGGGTGGGTGTGCCTGGAAGGAGTCGGTGTGAGCCTGGCTGAGCATCCCCAGGCCTTGGGCTACCACATGAGAAGGGAGAGAGGGGTAGGAGGAGAGACAGTGTTCTCCTCTCATGCTTGCTGGAGGGGGTGGGGTGGGGGTGAAATTATCAAACAGTGACTGACATTACCTTTTGTAGGAGATAAGCTCCCCTTGCTCAGACATGGCAGTTCGCTTCAATGTGCTCCTCATGAGATCAGAGAATAGTTCTCATGGAGATTACAAATTGTTAGAGTAATTTGTGACGTGAAGGTACTCGGACTGCTCAGGTGTGTATTTTTAATAAACTTTATAGACCCAAGTCTCTGGAGTGGAGTGGCAAGATCATGATCATAGCTCACCATAACCTCAAACTGCTGGGCTCAAGTGATCCTCCTGCCTCAGCCTCCCAAGTAGCTGGGACTACAGGCACTCACTATACCTGACCAGTTTTAAAATTTCTTTTGTAGTGATGGGGTCTCATTATGTTGCCCAGTCTGGTCTCAAACTTCTGAGCTCCAGCAATCTCTCAGCCTTGGCTTCCCCAAATGCTAGGATTACAGGGGTCACCCACTGTGCCCAGCCCCTTCTTAGCTCTTTAATAGTCTCTGAGACTGGGCGGTGCCTGTGGCTCAGTGGCTAGGGTGCCGGCCCCATATACTGAGGGTGGTGGGTTCAAACCCGTCCCCGGTCAGATTGCAACAAAAAAATAGCCGAGCATTGTGGTAGGCGCCTGTAGTCCCAGCTACTTGGGAGACTGAGGCAAGAGGATTGCCTCAGCCTGGGAGTTGGAGGTTGCTGTGAGGGGTGTGATGCGAGGGCACTCTACTGAGGGCAGTAAAGTGAGACTTTGTCTCTACAAAAAAAAAAAAATAGTCTCTGAGACAAAAGAATATACAAATAGAAAGGAAGGAAGAACAAAGATATAAGTAAATTTACATGTCCAGGCAGATTTGAAAAAGAAGCAAACAGAATTTTATTCTATTTTATTTTAGTTGAGACAGAGTCTCAAGCTGATGTCCTGGGTAGAGTGCCATGGCGTCATAGCTCACAGCAACTTCCAGCTCAGGCTCAAGTGATCCTTTTGCCTCAGTTTTTCTATTTTTAGTAGAGACAGGGGTCTGGCTTTTTGCTCGGGCTAGTCTCAAACTCATGAGCCAAGCAATCCACCTGCCTCAGCCTCTCAGAATGCTAGGATTACAGGCATGAGCCACCGCGCCTGGCTGCAAACAGAATTTTAGAAGGTAGAAAGCATCATCATCGTAGCGGAAACCACAACTGATGGCATCAACAACAAATAGATGCCCATGAAGAAAGAATTAGAGATCTGAAGGTGATGCCAGAGAAATGTCCTCCTGGCCTGTGCTTTATTCGTAGCCGATGCTAGTGCTTCCTGCTAACCTGAGAAGTGGCAGCAGCCCCTCCTTGGAGATCTGAGCCCTTGGGTCTTCTGTGCTCTTCATGCTTGCTTCTAGGAGCTGCCTGACCCAGCTCCTTTTGCTTTTTGTTCCCCCATCACTCTGGGAGTGGTAACTTCTACTGTTATCCACTTCAGTGTCCCTTTTTGCATGTTCAGCCCTCAAAACCCTGAGTAAACGATCCATTAAATTAAATCCCCTCTTCAGAGACCCACTATGTGGTCCGTGATTCATCCACAATTGGCCGGGGAAAGGTTCCAGAAGATAGGCCTACATACCTGGAGTTTTCGGCTGGGTCTGGTCACGCCTTTGCGCTGGACTTCAGGGCACCAGTCACCCATGCCCTGCACTGGCATCCTGATTAATCCAGTTACTGTCTTTGGTTGACTGGGATGATGCGCCAACGGCAACCAGTGCCTGGTGAGCGCAAGTCACTTCTGCACCTGGCTGTGGTGGCGGCCACGGACTGCTGTGAGCACTGTGGTGTTGGTGATTTCACTGAGTGTACCTGGCTACGTACAGCAAAGACATGATGATCTCAGGTTCCTAAACGCTCAGCTCAAGTCACAGGAAGAGAACCAGAGGGCTTCCAGGACAGCCCCCAAACTCCTTGTACCTGCAAGGCTGACAGTTCTGACGCTCAAACACAAACTTGAGTTGTGTGAGTGACAGAATCCCAATGTGTTGAAGCCCCAGCCTTGCCATGTTTTCATGCAAACATTGGGGAGGCCTAGGACCTGGAACCTGGAGTGGGGACATCTTACTGGCTTCAGTGGAAGCTGAGACTCCTGGGAACCCCACTGCCTCTGAGCCTCCCTTGTCAGCAGAAGTGGCTTGACCTTCTGTGTCTGGGGGACTGGTGTTCCTTTGCTGGAGCGCTGTCACAATTTTTCCTGGATAAGAGGCTTGTAAGGGGACACTAATCACCTATGAGGCCCTCCAGAAATACACCCTGTTGCCATTAGACTTATATGGACTGTTCAGTCTCACTGTGGTCTAGTGGGACAGGCACAAGGTGTGCCCCAGAGTTGACTGATAAGTGCATATTCCAATACAACTCTACCTAGTGTTTGTCACAGTCAATTGTCAGTGTCAGAGCCTAGATGGGATTGGATTTACTGACACTGGTGTACTTAACAGAGAGTCCAAGTTGAATTATGTTAGGGCTTAGAAATAGTGTAACTCTAATCTCTCACTCTCTTTGTTAAATGACACTTGTGCTTAGTGGTGGCCTGCAGTTTATGGCTTTGGCTATGCTGGTATGAGGTAAAGGAAGAGATCCAAAGGCTTAGCTTCTGTGTTTCATTGAAAGGTGCAGAGGGTGCCCTCTTTATTGAGGCATAGAGCCAGGTGTTGGTGTAGCAGCACCTGTATCCTTGAACAGCTTTATGGTACCCTGATCTGCAGGGCAGGTGTGACTCTACACAGTGCACAACTGAGGTGGACTCCCACATTTCTGTGGGCATGAGGACTTCTGTGTATCTGAGGCCATGTGGCAAATCTAACCTCCTGAAGAGGTGGTTATGTTCCCGTTATAGGTCAAGAGGGATATACAGAATGGCCTGGTCCACAAAGATCTTTGGGGATGTCTGATAGATTATAGCATGTCTAGAGGTAGCCTACTGCAGCTTGTTGGATGCATCGAACCAGAAGTGATCTAGGCCTCAGAGCCAAATACTTGACCCAGCTTGACCCAGTGGACACACAGCCTATCACCCAGCTTCCTGATCTAGGTCAGTACACAAATCCAGAGCCCCATGATGGAAGGGGAAGCCAAGGTCCCCTGAGAAGGACTGTACACCATTCCTGCAAGTGCACACCACAGATCTTTCGAAGCCTTCCTGAAGGGAACTGCAGAGCAACCAGTTACTGAAGTGACATTATCATCCTGGAAAACAGGAGTGCTCTAGCCTGATTCCCTCCCTGGTGGGCCACACTTATTCATTGCCATGGGGAAGGCTTTATTTACCACACTGTGGTCCCATGTGCAGAAACGTGGACACCTGACTGACATCACCTTCTGCCAATATTTGCCCACCAGTTTTGCCCATTTCTTCCTAGGTGCTTCCCCAGGAACCCTCTAGACATGCCCAAATGCACTGTCTGAATACAGTGGGGTGAGAAGGAGGGCAGTTCACTGAAGGCCGCGCAAGAGTTCACAGGCTAGAACCACGAACAGTCCTTTTGTAACAGCCAGGCGGGGTGCAGAACAGGGTGGGTAGGACGGGCCCACCACGGGATCTCCTGGGCCGTGGATTTCCACAGAGGCCTCCATCCTCGCCCTGCAGCGGGAAAGTGCGACCCCTGTGTCTCCAAGTAATGGGACATTGCGAATGGGTCAGAACAAGCCTTGCTCTAGATTCTCAGGCCAGGAGAGGAGGAGTGGGTCTCCCACAGAGGCCTACTGGGTAACAAAGGAATGCTGGCCCAGGCCCCCAGCACCACGAGGGAGGCATGGGGTGCGTGTCCTGCGCTGTCGCTAGAGGCCACCCAGGTGTGCTTTCCTTCTTTCCACTGTTGGAACACATTGTCATAGTTTCAGCAAAGCCTAGAGCAAGAGTTCTACACCCAAGATGGCCGTAGCGCCTATGTGGCGAAGCCCCATTCGTTAGCGCACGGCTAGGTCGCAGCCACCTCTCCGCTCTGCGCATGTGCCTGAATGTGCCCGCGCAGACGCAAAATACGGAGGCATCTATGGTCGAGTGCGTGACAGAGCGTCCCACAGCCCTAGCTGGAACTCTATGGTCTCTCCGTGCGAAGATAGGCCGCGTATATAAGGCTTGCGCAGGCGTTGGGGCACTCTTTACCTTCGGCGCGGTCTGAGTGGCTGCGAGCTTGGTTAGTGCTCTTGTGGGCTCTCAGCCGGGCGTAAGGCCTGTTCTCGCATTCTTTTCCGACTTATTCTGTTTCATTGCAGCCACTGAAGACCTGGTGTCGCCATGGGCCGCCGCCCTGCCCGGTGGTGAGTGCAGAATCCGTGCAGTTTCGCTGGTGGGAAAGGGGAGGGAGAACCTTTGGTCGCTGTGTTGGGAAGTGACCCTATATTTTCACTAATACTTTCCTGGTCGCTTTTAGCCTTTGTTTCTGCTATCTATTTCCTTTAAAAGTTATGCCGCTCCACAGCGCGTTCCCCGTTTTGTTGTTGGAGGGACGGATTGACCGTGGACTGCATTTGCCGCGCCGATGTCATGCTGGAAACGACTTCGGCCTTGCATACCCTCTTCTGGGCTGCGAATTTGCCTCATTTTCGAGCTTGATGCCGTCTCACGGCCTTTGTGTGAGGCCTGCCTTATTTCCGGGCGACGTGCCGTGTACGATCTCACTGGGCAGTCCTTGAAAAGCGGGTGCAACCGCCCCGTGTGCCCTGCAGGGGGCGCAGGGTGTCCTTCATGTGGGGTTGTGGAGGTGGATTTAATGCCACGTGCCCTGAAGTCTTTAGGCAGGTCACTTGAACAGTGCAGCTCTCATGTGGCAAATTTTTTTTTTTAACTGGGAGAGCTTTTCAAAGTGTTGGCTTTATAGGAACTTGAAAGCCAGGAATAAAGGAAAGGAAATTATTTGCACTGTTGTTTTGTGTGGGTAGTTCTTCAAATGGAAGTGCTTTTGAGTTTGCTTATGAAAACTAATATGGGCATTTTCTCCCACCTGCAGTTACCGGTATTGTAAGAACAAGCCATACCCCAAGTCTCGTTTCTGCCGAGGTGTCCCTGGTAAGTAGTGGGAAAGCTTCCAAGCTATTTTGACCTGCTGACTCAGCTGTCTGTGGCACCCCACACACTTAACCCCGACCCTTTTTCAGATGCGAAGATTCGCATCTTTGACCTGGGGCGGAAGAAGGCAAAAGTGGATGAGTTCCCACTCTGTGGCCACATGGTGTCAGATGAATATGAGCAGCTCTCCTCTGAAGGTGAAGTTAGATTCTTAATCAGTTACCCCCATCCTTCCTGTGTACTCACTGCTCACTCAGCCTAACTCAGAATGGACTGTGCTGGAGTTTGCAGTTCATGAAGTATGAGTTTTGTGACAGTCTCATTTTGTCACCCTCGGTAGAGTGTTGTGACATCACAGCTCACAGCACTCTCCAATTCTTGGGCTTAAGCGATTCTCTTGCCTCAGCCTCCCAAGTAGCTGGAACTACAGGTGCCTGGTAGGACGCCTGGCTATTTTGTTGTTGTTGCAGTTGTCATCGTTGTTTTAGCTGGCCAGGTTCAAACCAGCAGCCTCAGGTATATGTGGCCACCACCCTACCCACTGAGTTACAGGTACCGCCAGAAGCATGAGTCTTTTTACAAAACTCTGGGCCAGAACACTTCCTCTGAGGGTTGTGGATGACCATGTGTAAGGGTTTTCCCATTATCTTATCTCAATGCTACCATCCTTCCCCCTGCCTAGCCCTGGAAGCTGCTCGTATTTGTGCCAACAAGTACATGGTGAAAAGTTGTGGAAAAGATGGCTTTCATATCCGAGTGCGGCTTCACCCCTTCCATGTTATCCGCATCAATAAGATGTTGTCCTGTGCTGGAGCTGACAGGTGAGCTCAGTCTAGGCTTTCCAAAGACATTTTGTGGCCTCTGTGTGTGGTGTGGGTATTCATCACTGAGGGCATAGAGGTGGACTCAAATACACTCAGCCACCTGTGGGTAATGAGAAAGCTAGGGCACAGCTGGTAAGTGGCTTTCAGTGGACCTTTCCACTTTTTACAACCAGGTAGGTTAACAGAATTGACTATTACTGATTAAGTCAAGCCTCAAAAGTGTCACGATTAAGTCTTAGCCTGTGGGTCACAGGTAGAGGGAGGCCTTCTTGCTTTGAGCCTAATAAGTATCTGCAAACAGGTAGTTGGGAGCTGTCAGATGAGCCCAGTGGCACCTTGCATAGCCTCTCAAAGGTTCTTTGGGGGATAATTCTCCTGCAGCTAATTAAGCTGACCCTGCTCCTTTCCTCATGGGGGCCTGGTGTGCATTGGCTGCAAATAGTAGCCTCCTCGGTAGTGTATGCAGCCTGTTGCTTGTATAGGTTGCTCTAAGGGACCTTGGAGACATTCCTTTCCAATACATGTTCATGTGTTAGACCTTGTGCTGTCCCCAATCTAGGCCCCAGACAGGTATGCGTGGTGCCTTTGGAAAGCCCCAGGGCACTGTGGCCAGGGTTCACATTGGCCAAGTCATCATGTCCATCCGCACCAAACTACAGAACAAGGAGCATGTGATTGAGGCCCTTCGCAGGGCCAAGTTCAAGTTTCCTGGCCGTCAGAAGGTAAATAGTGCTGAGCCCCCTTCTCCTACCTTTCCTTATCCCAGGACTCCTGGCTCAGTTTTTCCCATCTCTTCCCTAGATTCACATCTCCAAGAAATGGGGTTTTACCAAGTTTAACTCAGATGAATTTGAAGACATGGTGGCTGAGAAGCGGCTCATCCCAGATGGCTGTGGGGTCAAATACATCCCCAATCGTGGCCCCCTGGACAAGTGGCGGGCCCTGCACTCGTGAGGACTTAACACTGTTGCCTATCAATTGCGCCTACCAATAATAAATCCTACTTCGTATCCACTTACGGTTTTGCATCTAGATTCTTAAGGGGGAAGGGATAAGGAGCTTCCTGTGTTCATGAAACGGGCTGATGACTAAGCACCTTATAATTGACAGCAAGGCTAACGGGGCAACACCTTAGAAAGGGGCCAGGACTTAGCCTTTCCTCAGTTGTCTAGGCTGGACCTTGACTTGGACTTCCCTAGATCCTTGGTAGTAGGTTAAAAAGCTTCTATGAATTGAGGGAGGAGAATGAAGATCAGCAAAGCCCTTGTAGTCCTGGTTGCTGCCTGAACGTCCCACCCCACCAGGTGAGCGGCTCATGTACCAAGGCTGATATCTGCAGCACCCCAGGCCAACATTACTTTAGGAAGAGAGTGGGCAGCCATAGGTTCAACCAGCAGCCTGGTGTTTCTTGAGTAATCTGGGGGCTGATTCCATTCGCACCTTCAGCAGCCTGACATTTCCTTCAGCCCTAGCTCCTGTGGAGCCTGCGAGGCCCTCATCATTAAATACTCTTGACAGGCCCATGGGGCTTGGCGACAAAAGACCCTCCAGACTAATGTTTATGGCCCACGTTGGCCTCTGCATGTGGTTCTTCTAACCCAAGTGCCAAGAGCAGCTTTTGAGATCTGGGGGAGAAGCAAAAGTAGGCCAGGAGGATACTACTAAGCAAGATAACCCTAAACCCTCGGGCCAGGAAATGGGAGAAATCCAAAGGGTTTCTGGTTCCAGGGCTGGGGTGTAACCCGAGAGGGACCTCTGGCTTTTTGTAGTCTTATTTATAACCATTTCTAAAGTTTGACGTTTTATTTTTTATCTTGGGGCTAAAGTATAGCTCTGGTGATAGTTTACACTTAGTACTGATAGTGTCCTAATAGGTATTTTTATTGAGTTCTGTTCCTTGGGAAATGGAAGGCAGGGAAAGAAGGTCCTGTGTTAACGCCTTGGACAGGATCACTGGTAGCATTTGCTTTCGCCGTAGCTGTAGCCCTTTTCACTGAGCAACTTCACAAAGTAGCTATTCAGATTATGCAGATAGGCATCTTCTCCATGCTTCTGCCTTGGTGACTAGCCAGCTGGGCTTGCCCTGTGCATGGATACAGGTAAGAATGTGGACTGACAGCACCTCGCGGTGCTGGGGGCAGGCTGCCCAAGCAGGTATGGCTGATGCTTGGGCTTTTTCCAGGCTGTTCATTCACTGGATTATGTGAGCTAAAACGTTTTCTATCATTCACTAGGGGGTTTTTTTTGGGGGGGGGGCTTGCTTTGTGTACAACCACTTACCTACTTTTATTTGTTAGGATTTTAATTCTGCTGATTCGTATGGGTCCTGTATACTGTAAAGATAGCCATTGGCATCTCTGCTATACACAAGTAATGTCTTTATCCAATAAGGCTTTGTGTTCTTGGTGTGTGTATAGTTTCCTTTTTGTCAAATAAAATCTTTTGATGCATTGTGATTCCCCTTTACAAGCCCTGCAGATTAGCTAAGATGCCTCTGGAGCCTCCTCTTCCCCCTCACCCAGCCTTGGAGCCTGCTTTGTCTCCACTACTGACACCATACCTGGGTCCTGACTCAGGGCCCTGGCTTCCTTTTCTGATAGCAGACACAAGCCAAACCCAGAAGATGGAGGGCTGTAGCTGCAGCCCCCCAGGAGTGGTTTCAGTCCCAGGGCAGGATGGACAGGGAAGGGCAAGGTTTCAGTCTTAAAGGCAGTGTCATATCTGTGGGTAGTAGCAGGCCCTGGAGTGTGTTCAGGCCACAGGGTTTAGCTGAGGGGCCAGGAATGACAGAACAGCAGCAAAAGCAGCAGAAGTGGCTGGGTTGAGGGGCTGGACACTGTGCACCGCCTGACTCAGCTCTACCTCCACAGGGTAGTGGTCACTGATGTTGAGAGCCTGCACATGGAAAATGGGAGAAAGTGTCAGTGTTGGGGCTAAGGGGTTTCTTTGTGACCCCGTTCTTGCTCTTCCTTGTGCCAGCCCATTCCTTTACCTCTTCTTCAGTGAGCTGGAAGCTCCTGGGAAAGTTGAAGGCAGCTGCAGTGAGCAGCAGGCTCTGGCAGTGCTCCCCATGCAGCACAATGCGGTCGTAAGTGCAGTGGGTGCTGGCCCGCACTGTGGTGTCCTCCCCATCAGCAATCACCCAGTGGAAGCCTGGCTCCATCCGCAGCACCAGCTGACCCAGGCGCTTTTTGGTCAGTGAAGCACAGTCAGCATTGAAGTCCCCAAGCAGGATCATGTCCTAGAAACAGAGTAGTGGTCAGGCCTGACCACCTGGGTGTCCTATCCTCATCCCTCTTGTACAAACTGCCTGACCATACCTTGGTCTGCCAGTGTTGGGAGACATCGAGGAACACGTTGTGTAGGGCGTTCAGCTCCTTTTCTACATCCTTAGGAGTAGTGTGTAGTGGGACCAGCACCAGGCTAGGAAGGACTACAAGGCCCATGGCTCAAGGGCTGCTACCCACTCTCAGCCCTTCTTCCCTAGCTGCCTGTGGGTGACCAAGCCCTCAGTGGAGCCAGCCAGACCCCCTTCTCCCATATACCAGACCCACCCTCCTTTTCCTACCCTTGCTGGGCAAAGTGAACTGGGCCACAAAGGGTTCCCGGGCAAAGACATCATCCTTGTCATTGTACACGTAGTAATTCAGGACCTGTGTCTTATGTGACCTAGGAGGACCAAGAGATGGAAAGTAGTAGCTCTATGACACTGATTTTTTTTTTTTTTTAGCCTTAAGCTATCCCCCTGGGTAGAGCGCCATGGCATCACAGCTCACAGCAACCTCCAACTCCTGGGCTCAAGCGAGTCTCCTGCCTCAGATTCCCAAGTAGCTGGGACCACAGGCGCCCGCCACAACGCCCGGTCATTTTTTGGTTGCAGCCATCGTTGTTTGGCGGGCCCGGGCTGGGGATTCGAACCCCCCACCTTAGGTGTATGTGGCTAGCGCCTTAGCTGCTTGAGCCACAGGCGCCGAGCCTATGACACTGATTTTGGCTTATAAGTACCGACAACAGAGCTGGCACTCGGGCACCTCCATTAGCAGCCCAGTGGGAGCCTGTCCTGGCTTCAGTCTGTTCATGTAGGCCCAGACTTCTAGCCTATTTTTCTAAAACTTTGAAAATTCAGCTATATGGCAGGACAGCTATGGCTCATGCCTGTAAGCCTAGCACTCTGGGAGGCCAAGGTAGGTGTATTGCCTGAGCTCACAGGTTTGACACCAGCCTGAGCCCCAGAGCAAGACCCTGTCTCTAAAAATAGCCAGGCATTGTGGCAGGCACCTGTAGTCCCAGCTACTCAGGCTGAGGCAAGAGAATTGCTAGAGCCCAAGAGTTTGAGGTTGCTGTGAGCTATGAGGCCAAGTTACTCTACCTAGGGCAACAAAGTGAGACTCTCAGAAAAAAAATAGGCCAGGCACGGTGGCTCACATGTGTAATCCTAGCACCCTGGGAGGCCAAGGTGGGTGGATTGCTTGAGCTTGCGAGTTTGAGACCAACCTGAGCAAAACTAAGACCCCGTCTCTACTAAGAACAGAAAAATTGAGGCAAGAGGATCAGCTGAGCCCAAGAGTTGGAGGCTGCTGTGAGCTGTGACTCCATGACACTCTATCCAGGGCAACAGCTTGAGACTCTGTCTCAAATAAATATTCAGCTATAATTCATAATAATTCATGTCATAAAATTCACCTGTTTAAAATGTACGGTCCCATGGTTTTAATTTTTTTTTTTTTTTTTTTTGAGACAGAGTCTCAAGTTGTCAGCTCCATAGCAACTTCAAACTCTTGGGCTTAAGTGATTCTCTTGCCTCAGCTTCCCAACTAGTTGGGACTACAGGTGTTCGCTACAGTGCTCAGCTATTGTTTTTGTAGCTGGTCCAGGCCGGGTTCAAACCTGCCAGCCTTGGTGTATGTGGTCAGCGCCCTATCCTGTGAGCTATGGGCACCACTCCACAGTCCCAAGGTTTTTAGTACATTCACAAGGTCATGCAATTATCACCACAGTAATTATCACCCCCCAAAGAAACCTTATGTGCATTAGGACTTAAGTCTCCACACACACACCCCAGCCCCTGCAACCACAGATCTGTTCCTGTCTTACAGGATAGTCTCTTCTGGATGTTTCATATGAATGAAGTCAAATAACGTGGCCTTTGGGGACTAGCTTCTTTCCTTTAGGACAATGTTTTCAAATTTGCATCTTCATTCCTTCTTTTTTTTTTTTTTTTTGAGACAGAGCCTCAAGCTGTCCTCCTGGGCAGAGTGCCGTGGCATTACAGCTCACAGCAACCTCCAACTCCTGGGCTCAAGCGAGTCTCCTGCCTCCGCCTC